TTTAAGAAATGAACTTATATCTTTCTCGTATGATCATTAATGAACGTGATAAAATAGCGAGAACCTCCAATGGACTTAACTAGAGTAGGACCTCACACATCAGTATGCACTAACTCTGGTTTCTTTGATTTAACCACTAACCCGTCCTTGAGGAAAGAAACCTTCTTCTGTTTGCCATAAATATAGTTTTCATAGAAATTCAGATCAACTGATTTCAGACCCTGAAGCTTATTTTTCAAATGTAGGGAATTCATACATTTTTCGCTCATCTGACCAAGCCTACGGTGCACAGACCTGCATCCACCCTGGTTCCAGCAACATCAAAGAAATAAGTCATTTCATTGATCAAATTAAAAGTGCATTTAATGTTGCCCCGAGCCATCACCAATGCCCCCTGGTCAACTTCCACGAATCACCTGTAAAAGTAGTCATGAGTTCTGATTTTGTCAGCTGACTCACAGAGATGAGATTTCTCTTCAAACTTGAAACATGCCTTAACTTCAGTAGATTTCCAACCTGTTTCATTCGACAACTTGATATCAACATCACCCTTTCCAACTGTACTGCAAGCCTTGTTATCTCTCAAATAAACATTCCCTAGATCACTCTGTAGTTTTTAAATACCTCTATTGGGGCAAGCATGAAAACATGCACCTGAATCCATTATCCAAGATTTAGTGCAGACCAGAGATAACACCAGGAAGCCATTTTGTATTTCAAATGTGGAGACATTAGTGGAGAAATTACTTTCCTGTCCTCCACCACCAGTTTTTCTTGGAGCTTTGTAGTCCTTATTGAAATGTCATTTCCGACCGCAATTCCAGCAGTTTCTATTCTTGAATTGGGCTTTTAATTCTTGGAATTGGATTTACCTCTGTCTGTATTCCTGCCAAAATTTATTCCTCTATTCTCAGCACTCAACACAGAACCTGAAGATTCACCATTCACTGCTTTTCTGCGAGCTTCTTCATTCAACATCAGGCCCATGATATCATTGAAGTTCAACTCGAAACCTCTGAAGAATTACTCATAGTCGTTACCAAACCATCCCAGCTTTCCAGTAATGAAGAAAGCATTACCAGTGCTCTGACCTGATCATCAAGCTTGATCCCAACATAACACAATTGGCTCGTCACAGTGTTGAAGTTATTGAGATGATGTCACTAAACTGTCTTCCACATCTTCATGTTGAATAATTTTTTCATCAGAAAAATCTTATTGGAAGCAGTTTTCGTACATCTTAACCAGTGTTGCCATGAGATCCACCATAGTTTTCTCATTTACAATGTTCAATTAAAACGGATGAGAAAAGTGCCAACCTGATCAAACCTAGTGTCGTTTGATCCAACACTTTATATTCCTCCATAGGCATAGATTTGGGCTTCCTTGAAGTGGCAAGTACAATTCTTTATGATACAATGAATCCTTCACCTGCATCTTCCAGAAAATGAAGTTTGTCCCATTAAACTTCTCCACTTTGAATCTTGCTTCTTCATCCATTACTCCCACTCAAATCAAACCCAGCTCTGATACCAGTTTGTTAGGGAAAACTACTGCGAAAGAATCTCCTTTTAATTTCGCTGCGAAATAGGATTATCAGATTCGAGAAAATCGAAAAAAAAAATAAACACATAAGCACAATCAAAACAACCAGAAAAGCACATCAGGATTTTATGTTTAAAACCCGAGAACCAGAAAAAATCACAAAGTCACGCCACCATAAATTCCCCTATGAAACTCAGAAAGTTTTACAAAGCACACACAAGTTTATTCTTCACACTCACACGAGGAAACTTATAGGACTTGCACCAACAATCTCCCCTCTTCTATCTGACGCAAAAAACCATGCCGAATCACCAAAATCCACCTCTTCGACACTCCTCTCCTTCATTAGAATGCTTGTCGAAGAATTCAAAAAGAAGAAAACAGCAAGCTCGTCGTTCCACGCTCAAAATTAGTTTTAAAACAAATTTTTCGTGTAGCAACTGCACCGGGCACCAAGCGCTTTGTATTGGCGTCCCATAATGGGCGCCTAGCGCCTATGCGCTGGTCTCTCGGGAAAACAAGTGCCCGCACCATGTAGGGCACTTAGGCGCGAAATGGCCGACGCATAGATGTTGGCCTTCTTCTTTTCGAGCGCTTGAGGGCCCATGGCTGGCGCTTAAGCGCCAACCTTAAATGCTGCTTGAAATGTTTTGGCTCCACACTACATAACACCTATGTGGTATCTTAGCTAAGAAAAACTATAAATAACGGCAAGTTAGGCAAAACAGGCAAAACGAATACCTTGATATGACAAAGTCCTTTGCCCAATTGTTCCAGCTGACAAAGCCCACATGTCGTAAATGA